TATCACTTAAAACTAATTCACGTGCAAGTCACAACGGTTGCCTTCAGCCTGCTGAAGCATGTGGTGGACAGCGTCGAAGTCGACGGACGAACTGTCATGTGTGCGGATGGAGACTACTGACAAAATTAAGGGCGCCTGGGAGGGCCATTTCAGGGTTTCTAGCCGTATCACGCAGCTCTACCCAGCCCCAGGTTTGGGGTGGCTGGGGCCCGAACTCATGTTCTTTTGGTTAATGGTCCAACACTTCGGTGCGCTATCTATTATGGAGCCGACTGACAAGTGCCGTTGGAACTAAGCTGACCTTTACGGTTTCCAATCCAACTGCAGGAGGATAGGTTTTGCTCACGAAAACTACACTTTCTACCACTTTAACCTTAAAAGTTGCGTCACAAAACGCGAGCGTGACTCGTCACGTACGCTAGCTTCGCGGCGAGTACAAGTAATCACGCCACCCTTGCACTGAATGCTGATTGGTTAGTGTGGGGACCAACCAGACGACTTGCCTGTAAGGCACTTAATGGAGCTGTGGTGCTGGCTTAGATCGTAGATCGACGACATGCAGTACATCGGCAAACTATTTTCAACTGCGAGACAATACTACAGTGACATTAACAGGGCCACGCTCAATGGGGCTATTGACGTTATCGTTATTCAACATCCGGATGGCGAATGGAACAGTTCACCCTTTTACGTTCAGTTTGGTAAAACAGGAATACTTCGACCAAGCGAAAACGAGGTACGCCAGTAAAAATTGATGCATTTTTACAATTGCCGCCCATGAAATATTCCTTTTTGGTGTCATGCTTAAAGAATGTCCTGATTAATGGCTTTACTTCATAACCAGCAAACGTGCACCAGCCCTGGGCAGGCATATGTTAATAAAACCCGCTGCAAGAATAATTTGCAGTCAGTCGAACACACACCCTTTTTCTACTTTCTTTTGTTGCGACTCCTTCAACACTCAGAAATCCGTGATTTCACAATGATTGCATAGTGCTGAAGGCTAAAATGCCGTCACTACAATGTTTTTGGAAGATTTACCAGGAGCATATCCATCAAGGAAAATCTGAACCATCTGCTTTCCTTGACTTTTGTAGCTGCGCGTTTTGACATTTGCAATTCATGGCTGTACACAGTAAAACTCGAATTCTAGTAGTTACAAGATAAAATTCACTTGACAACGAAGTCCGTCGATCTGCCCGACTGTAGCGTGGGCTACGGCTGTTCGGTTTTGTCTTGCGACTCTCGTGGGTCATGACATAGCGAAAAGCAGTAAATAGTTGAGATGTAGTCAATACATAAGCAAGAGCTACTGGAATGGTCACCGATGGCTGACATTCCGTTTAAACCTACCATAGAGCTAAGGGGAAGGGGAAGACACGAACTTTGAACGCGGAAAATGTAATATACAATGTAGTGGTCGGGTTTTTTCCCTCAATCAAGTCGACAGTTTGGATGCACCTATCGCTTGATGTTATATATTCCCGATCGTGGTCTACTAGGTCTGAGTCTGTGGCAAAAGTGTTAGGCCTTTAAGCTCACTGAGTAGTCTGACCCACGTTCGAATCTTGGCCCTTCTCACAGTAACTTGTGGCTGGCCGACGCAGGGTAATTAGAATAGTCCTGAATCTAGCAATCTTCCTTGGTTCTATCAGTACCACCTCCATTTCACTCGAGACTGGCATGCGTGGATCAATCCTGGATGTGGGATGGACGTCCGTACTTCCAAATGGCATATACTCGA